TTCTGTACCTGTTAATCTGAGAAAGAAAGGCCCGATAACCTGTCTGACAATAACTCCTCCCCAAACATTCAAGCTCCGTTAAAAGTTGCCCCATTGCTAAAAAGAACCTTATCCAGGAAAGTAGTATCGTCACTCACTTTATTAAGCATTATTCTACTAAACTCCATTCGAGCTGCGAAATCTTGAGGACGAAGGCCTTGATGCAAGCATAGGTGATATGGATCCTTGTGAATAATCTTTTGGACAGAAGTACTGCATATATCAGTTTCTGCTCCAATTTGCCGTGCACTTAAATGGGGATTTTCCTGCAACTTTAATAGAACCTCACAACTGATTCGCCTCATTGGTGACACTTGGATTATCTATACATTTTTTACTATATTCCACTGTTCCACTTGATTCAAAACATTCTCGTAGAGTGGAAAATGTTTCCGTCCTTAGATGTCGCATATTAGGGTACCGTTGTATATAAATGCGAGATGCTAGGAAACTATTTCTTTGGACTTCGCCCAAAACGAACATAATTCTTCTTTAGAAAAAATCATCTTCAAACACGTTTTTATTATAATGCTCACAAAGCTAATTTTGACAGTTTGTAAGTAATCAACAACTTATTTGTTTCCAAGGATGATGCGATATACTAGGGAATTAAGCCGTTCCATAAAAGACGTGCTAATAACCGAAAAATAGCCGTAAAAACCCTTATGTGTCTAGTATAAAAAAAGCTTATAAAAAATGTAATCCAAACTTACACAAATATACAGGGTGGTGCATTTGAAATTTTTGAGAAAATTTACAATTTGCGTTTTTGACCACCCTGTATGAGCAATAATTAAAATTCGAAAAAGTAACAAATAAGATAAAAGCTGAGGTGTGTAAGTTTTTTTTGATACAAAATTCAGCACTCCAAATTTCAAAATGGCGGACTGATGGGTTGCCGAAAAACACCTTATATCTCAGTAGCTAATTACCAAAACCCCATAGTATGTTATATCAATTTTCTTCTTTTGGATTGGTTTATCCAAATATGCAATACAATTTGAGGTTTGCCATTTGAAAAATCACAACTTTGATATGTAGGTCGAAATGGGGACACCCTGTATAATGGCTAATAATTTAGAAATGTGCCCTCAAACGTCATGTATAGCATCCCATAAATAGATTTTCCCAAAATGTATTTGTTTATGAGTAATATTCAGTCCATACATGGATGGACCACCCTGTATAGGTGAAAGGTAAGGTACGTGAACTGAAGACTTTCCCCTAAGTTTTTTTTAGTCTCGTAATTCATATATTTGCGGTTGGGATTTTTATTTTTTATATCTGTTTTCCGAAACAATTTTTAATCGAATATCAACCCATTTTAAAAAGGGAAGGTATGCTGTCGCACCCTGTATACCATTTTCCTATATACGTATTACGAATCCAATGACTGATTCCTCAAGATGCAAACGATAACTTTCCCCAAAATCCTTGTCTCGAATTTGTGATTTTCACATCGTAATTTGTTTTGATCGGAGAGCGAGTATAACCGCTGGCGCTGTGGGGCCGATGGCACGGTGCTCGTTTGTAGGTAAACTTCTTGCCCTAAAAGGCAATGTTCGACTGCGTAACTCGGCACCCGCCGCTTGACGCCGTGCCGTAACGCCTCGGCGTCGATCGGTACCACCGACCAACCCATCAGCGGCTGATCGATGGATGAAATCGTACCCAGGAGCGATGTTTCTCCACCGGTGCGGCTGATATGGGTGGTTACAATAGCGCCCTTGTGATGTAATCTATCGTGTACAAGTTATCTTCGCTATCACGAGGCGAAAACCTCGCATCCGCGGGAGAAATTCCCCATTTCCTTTTTCATAATCGCGCTTGTTGGATGCCAAGTGGTTGCCAGGCAAATCGACACATTGTTTAATACGCTTTTAATAGTTTGACCTGTTGGTTTGTCTATACAGGGTGGCGCATCGAAAACGAAACAGACGCATTTACTGGCAGCTAGTTTTTTTTTGAAGACCCGCCGATTTTGTTTTCGAGGGGGACACAAGTTTGGCAAAAAATCACGTTAATACGTGCAGCCCCCTAAGCGGGGGTGACACCACCCCCAAAATCTTAAATGGAAAGGGGGGTCGAATGATACCTTATTTTAAAGGTCTTTCAATTCCCTTTATAATGATATAAAATTAATGTACTTCAGTTCAGTAGTTTTGAAGATTTATAGATTTGAAGCTTAAAGTAGACTTTAATAGGTACATCAGATTAGTTTGTACTACTTTCAGAAGAAATTTGACTAAAAGAAGTTACTTAATAAGTAAATGCCTTTCTTCACTACGCCTATGGTTTGTTTATCATTTTGTTGTTGAAAATAGCTATTGGAGCGTTTTTTTGTGTCAAAAAAGTTATTTCTTGAAAAAAGATAAGGAAATATCTCGTACTTATTTTAAATAGGAATTTAGTACATAATTTGCAAAGTTTGTTGCTAAAATAACTTGTAACGCTTTATTACATAAATTAACCATGGTATATTCCACAGCAGAAAGAGTTGAAATTATCGAACTATCGAACTATGTTCTAGAACTTGTAGCTAAATTTCGGGAAACTGGGTCAGTCGCCAATAAAAAACGCAACATTGAAAATCCCATAAGGAACGAAGCAATAGAAGTGGGGGTTTTAGGGCAAGTTTATGTAGATCCTACGTTAAGTACTCGCAAATTGGAGGCTGTGTGTGGTGTTAGTCGACGTACTGTCCAATGGATTCTAAAGGCCCATAGTTTTCATCAGTATAAAATTTACCTGGTACAAGAACTTAATGAAGACGATTTTGATCGGTGTTTACAATTGAAGGGTTCTTTTCAAAAATAGCCAATGTCAAATATTCAATATTTTCAGGGTATTAAAAAAAGCTCTTTAAGCCGATATGGCTAAAGTTATAATTTTTTTGTGCCATGTAAGTAAATATACCTGTATTTTACTGATTTGGAGATACATTTGGATGTTATATAAACTCCGTTTTTTTTTGTAAATTAGGATGAAATGTCTGACATTGGCTGTTTTTGTTGAAAATTAAAAATAAAAAGTACAAAAATTGCAACTGACACTTTATTTAAATTTACAAATAAATTTAAAAGTTCTTCAGAAGATAAATATACATATTTTGCACAATATTAATCACGTCCGTCATTATTATCATCCTCATCGAGATCGATATTAGTGGCTGATTCGGTGACATTAAATTTTTGATAAAATGCAACACTAGCTGGTTTCTTTAGAAAGGCTGACAGATCTGTTATATGTTGTATTTTAACACTGTTTACTGGTACTGATTTTTCATACAAAGCTTTTAGCTCTAAGTTGTTTGGCAAAACTTTTTTATTTCGAACAGCACAGTATGTCCATGCTCCTGAATAAGTATTTTTAGTTTTGACATATGCAGAGTCGGAAGATAATGCGTGCTTCCCGAAGGCCTAGCTTTGGTCGGGGAGTTTTAAGAAAATACGAAGAGCATGCGTTTTGGATATTGAAGAACATATTTTGACTCATATTAACTACAACAAAAGGAGATGGATTTACTTTTGCTTCCTGTATTAGAGCATCCCAATCTTCGGGAACTTCCGGGCTATTTCGTCTTTTCTTTTTTTCGATAAGAGCGAAATCTTGATTATTGGGTAGATAAGAATGACCTCGTATAGGAAATACATGAGTTACTTTCTTAAATAGCCTCAATGCATGTACTAGCATATACTGAAAATAAACCACAATGTGGTTTTTGTTTTGCCCGTAGCACCCGTCGCTAAAAATGACTAAATGACTCTGTGTTAGATCCTTATTGTTCAAGTAGTGTAAAATCATTGATGTGACATCATTGGCGCCTTTTCTTGCCACATCCTCTGTATAGACGTACATAGCAGCAGAATCGTCTGCTAGGTCATGGATTCCAAAGACATAATACCAAAGCTGACTTTTGTAAAAGACGTCACTAGTTTTAATGAGAGATAAAGGTAGATTTTGTTGGAAATCAAAAGATATCGCCATGCATCTACCGGCTTTCGCCTCTACTTTGTAATGGTTCTTTACTTGCCTGAACTTTTCTGCTTTTCTCAAATGGAGATCTTTTTCATTAATAAGTTGTTGTTTTATGTCATTAACAACGGCAGAGTTTATTTTTAATGTTAGTTCATCACACTTAGCGCAAGTGTCTGTTCTAGGAATACCAAACGAAATATTGAATTCATTCTTAAGAAATTGGTAATAAACAAGATAGGAGACATTAACTCTAACTTCGTACAAAAATAATTTATGCATTTTGCTTACACTCAATTCTTCAGGCAAATATATTTTTTCCGGATTATCTCGCCGTGAATAATGTTTATATTGTCTTCCTCTAAAAGACTTGGTATGCAGTCTTACTAAATTTAATATTTCATTGGGTGTTTTAGATGGTCTATTATTATGTCTTCCACGTGCACCATAAGGAGGTAAACCGGAAACCTTAATAGAGTCTTGAATTCTTCTAAGCCGACCTCTTGAAATTCCATGTAAGCTCAAAAATGCAGTGTGACATACAACCTTTTCTTGTCCAGCTGTTCTAACCTTGTAGTAAAAAGCAACAGAATGATCAAATGAAGGCCCATCGTCATCATCCTCGTCGTTATGAGTCCGTCTCGGTCTTCTTTGCTTTACGTTGTCGAATGAAATGAGACCCGCCAGATAACTATCTTGTACATCTTTGGAAGAAAGTGAATTAAACTTATCTAGAATGATTTGACGTTCTCTAAAACCAATCTTATCAAAACACTTATAGCATTTGCATCTGAAAAAAAAAACACCACAGCTTCAAAAAGGGAAATCACATTCTTTTGCAACAGAAAATGAGAATCAGTGAAATGGAAAAAGTGATTTTGCTTTGACTTTTTTCGATAAATTTGCCACCTCACGGATTCTTTGCTAACCATGTAACAAGTTTACATGAAACTAAACATTTAATAAAATTGAATATGGAAACTTACCCACAGTTCGGTCCTATAGATCTAGCAGGTACATGAATACCCTTTTGATTTGTATGGGCTGCTCCAGCTACTTTCAACTGCTTTATAACCTCACATTTTCTTGTTTTCCTTTTTCTTTTTGCAGGCCATTCTACAGTAGAATCAGGATCTCTCTGAATGTTCGATGACATTCTGTCACGTTTTATGTCTTTTTTTATCCTTGATTAGTTTTTGCACCACAAAATTTAAGCGGGAATGAATGGTAAACTAACCTTGTTACTCAATAAACACATGTGCACTTGACTGATGTGTGTCGCGACTTTGTTGACATTGGTTGTTTTTGATAAAATTCGCGAGGACATTGGTTGTTTTTGCCAAACTGGGCGATCATACAGTTGCATTATGCAGTTGACTATGGCAGTTCTTGCTGTAATAGTTGGTCAGGATCTGACAACGTTATTTTTACATACGATGGTGCGAACAGCACCAAATTTCTGAAAAATAACATTGGTTGTTTTTGCAAAAAACCCTTCAATTTTGTGAAGATATGAGTGAACGAATTATAAACGATGCACATTTTCCATTCAACACTTGCTTTTCCGACGAATGTTCTTCTTTCTTAAATGGTGTAGTAAATCGCCATAACTGCCGATATTGGTCCGATTCTAATGACAGAATGTATCATGAGGTTCATACACAGCAGCCACAGAAATTAAATGTTTTGGGCTGGTATTTTTGGCGATCATTTAGTTGGTCCTTTTTTCTTACCTGGAAATTTGACCGGTGAAATGTATTTGGAATTACTGGAAGACGCCATAGATCCTGCATTAACAGCCATAATTGAAAATCAGAATGATCGGCGGTACATTGCGAATAGGTTGATGTTCCAACTGGATGGTGCCCCACCACATTACGTATTACGGTGTTCGACAATATTCCGATCAGACGTTTCCAGATCGATGGATTGGTAGAAGGGGTGCCACTGAATGGCCCCCAAGATCGCCAGATTTATCACCTTTGGATTTCTTTATGTGGGGTCATTTAAAAAGCAAAATCTATGCCACTCAGCCAACATCATTAGAAGACCTGCGACAAAGAATTGTGAATGGATGCCTTCAAATTACTCCTTAAATATTGCAAAATGTGCGGCAACGTTTTGAGCAAAATCTTTATTATCGCATGGAGAGTCACGGTGGCCATTTTCAACATTTACTTGCCTAACGGGTCAGTTCATTCTTCATTTTTAAAGTACTTTGCTGCCAAATGTATTGATCTCCAGTAATGATGATGTATTAGTTTTATTTAAGCTTCAAATCAATAAATCTTCAAAACTACTGAACTGAAGTACATATATTATATTTCATTATAAAGAGAAATTAAAATACCTTTAAAATAAGGTATCACTCGACCCCCCCCTTTCCATTTAAGATTTTGGGGGTGGTGTCACCCCCGCTTAGGGGGCTGCACGTGCTAACGTGATTTTTTGCCAAACTTGTGTCCCCCTCGAAAACAAAATCGACGGGTCTGAGCGTTTTTCAAAAAAAAAACTGAGCTGCCAGTAAATGCGTGTTTCGTTTTCGATGCGCCACCCTGTATGATGTACAGTGCCATCCCTAACCTTTTGTATATTTCTAATTATTGCGTAGAGGATGATCATTCCTCATTTCTTTTGAGATAATTTTTTGACGCTGGAATACAGTACATGGTTGGCTATCTCCGAATAGAATGCGCTAACCAATGTTGAATTCTAAAGGATGCGGCCTAGCGTAAAGCGATCTTAGTGGCAAATTTACATCAACAAAAGTTTATTTTTCTAAACGCACGAATGAACGGTTTTATCTATAGATAATTAGAGGCTATCATTATGATCAGTGTGCAATCTACACAAATGTATATATAGAAAGTGGCCGCTACATTTTTTCCTTAGAAACACACAGGCGCATTAGACTAATTGCCTTAAGCCGAGATATAAAATGATAATGCACCTTGCGAAATATGTTATGAATTATGGACTTGTCGTGAACGGTTTATGGTGTCAGGTATGCGAGTCTAAATCAGCAAGAAAAGTTACGTAAAGTGCGATATTTGTTGAGACGGAAATATGGATCAAGTGCCTGTCAACGATTCTCGTACGTATCAGCCGTTAGTAGATTGTTGGAATAATTATTAAAAAGAATGTAGTCAAATTCCTGTCTATACCCCATCTAAATCCAGTCATGTACTGATAATAATAATAATAGAATATATGAGCCCCTTCTCACTTCAGTTGGCCCACTTCAAGATTTCTACCAAAATATGCCTTTATAAACTAAACATGACGAAACTATTTACTTCTAAAACAATTTATTTTCTCAAAAACATTTTAGATACACTCTATTCGTAAAAAATACATATTTGAAATCACTTAGACCTATAACTAATAGAACATCTGAGCAAATAGACAATGTGCGAATAAATGCGCGAAGTTAACAAAGCAACAATTGAAAAATTACCATCGAGTAACATCACCTTTATTTTTTATTACGGCTGAAATTCTTTGGGGCATAGTGTTAACCAAGTTTTGGCAAACATTTGGTGTAAAACAATCCCATATTGTACGAGAAGGATGTTGTCGTAGAACCTTTTTCATCTCGTGCCACAAAGTTTCAATAGGTGACAGATCTGGACTGCTAGGAACCCATTTCAAAAGTGGTACATTATTTTCTTCCATCCATTTTATAGCCTTTTTTGAGGTATGGCACGCTGCACCATCTTACTGAAACACAAAATCTTTGCCGGATGTCAAACATTCTTTCATCACTGGTAAAAGCGATTCTTCTAAAATTGCCAAATATTTGTTCGTATCCACATTTCCATCAATAAAATGAAGTTTTCCTACTCCTTTTGATGACATACTGCCCCAGACCATAATGGATGCTGGAAATTTCACTTTTCTCTTCAGACAGTCAACATGGAATGCTTCATTCATTTATTTTTTGCGAATAACTCTACTGCGACTGTCACCAACACAAACTTCTAATCGGGCCTCATCACTCCATTGTATTGAACACCATTGTTGAGGTGTCCATCTAAGCCGATTTTTCTGTTGCAGTGGAGTTAATAGTGGCTTTTCTTTGGCCTATAAACAAGTTGTGCAACTTTAGGGTTTTTACTTCACTTTTTTTTATAAGAAAACTTACATTGCAAGTGCTAAATCCCAGTTTGTGGGCCTCTCTATGAGTTGTTAACCTCGAAATTCTCCTTCCAACAGCGTCACTCCACAGAGCACTTAATTGTAAATAATTGGCACACCTGTTTTTCACGATTATTCTTCTTAATGCTCTTCGGTCAGCATTTGTGATATTACTTTTTTTCACATATCGTGGCTTAATATTAACTGAACCAGTTACGATATATCTTCTAACAATATTTCTCACACTGTACCGCGATAAGTCTAACAAAGTTGCAATTTCTGAGTTTGATTTCCCAGAATTAAAAAATTTAATTATCAGTAACCGAATTTTCTTACTAATAACCTTTCCTCTACCCATTTTGAAAACCTTAACTACTCAAAACTATTTTAAACGTATTCTGACAGCTGTGATTAATAAAAACAATTGTCATAGCTTTTATTTTTCACAGCCACCTATGCGTTATAGACTTATTTTGCACTGAAATGAAAATAGGTTGATATGCTGTAATTGCAACATGTGTTATTTTTATGCTGCAAATTTGATTAGGGAGTGATAAAGTTGGTGTTTTCTACTATATATTATCAAAATATTCATTGTCAATATTTTAAACCTATAACACTCTGCTACATTTTTATTATTTGTGTTTGATAAGAAAAAAAACTGAAATTTCAATAGTTGGGCCAACTGAAGTGGGAAGGGGTTCGTAGATCAAGGAGGCGAAGTTTATCCAAAAGGCTACACTTATAGTTAACCCCGAGATAAACTAACAAAGATAAACTCGATACACAAACCACAAAGAAAATAATAATAAGGAGAAGATATAGAAAAGTAAGTAGCCAAATGGGTAAGATAAAGAAGTGTTTACAATACTCGCATACGAAAGTGCAAGCCAACATAGCAAAAGTGATTCAACAGATGCACACAGTACTTTTAAACAAACTATTCCATCAGCTATTTCTTAGAAAATCTAAAGGTACTATGGTTTTACTGCGATAAATTGTATCAGTAGAATCATATAAACTGACAGCATGAAAGGCAAAGCCTTTTTGAAAAAGAGCTGAATAATGATCGCAAAATGTAGGTTATGTCTAAGGGCCGTATCGTCAGTCGTTCCGACAACTGTATGTATGTATGTTATTACAGCCTTTTTTTCTCTGCGTCTGGTATTTCTAGATGTCTACTGTTCCGTGTCAGCGTCAGCGCTCTCCTATTATCAGGCTATGTGGATGCAAATAGATATTTGTAACATAACCTCTAAACAGAGCGCTGACAATGAAGCGTAGAAAACTATGAAAATCAGGGAGGCCATAAAGGCGTCCTACGATTTCTCTGATAAATGCTACCTGTTCGTACCAGCTTTTCTAAAATATACCATTGCTTTCTAGTGTGGACTACTATATCAATACCTTGTTAACATACACAAACTGTGATTCTATATTCAATCAATTCATCAACTTAAATCTTCACTATATTTACGAAGTCCAAATACAAACCTGCAGCAGTTGTTTTGAATTTGCTGTAAGCCTATACCGATCCGACGAATCCAAATAAGAATGGAACAAAATTAACGAATATTGCAATGACAGGATCAACCTTTCAACTAATTCTTTCCAAGTGTTGAAGTTTAAAATGTACCTGGACATAAAAGTTTCAATTTGACATACGTTTTTTGAGCCAGGTAGCTGATATGTCTATGAAACTTGGAGTTTAACATACTCGACAGCTGAAGTATTGGATTTGGTCGTATTCAGAATCATCTGGAATTTGGAGAATATGGAGGTTGTGATAGACCTCCCCTCTGTGATTTTTTTTGAGTCTACAAAGCAGTACGTGGCTTGGGATGACTACTTGGCCTTGTCTCTCCTTTTTCTTGGTCCTTAAATATTAAGACATATACACAATATTTTCTTGCCGAGGCTCAAATTGAGTTTGGGAGGAGGAAGCAGGTTCACAATATGCCAGTTTCATTACGTTTTCTTTCATGATTCATTTTTCAGCTCATATCTGCAAGTCATAAATATGTAACATTCAACCTAACCTAACTCATCTGGGACCCATTTCTTCCACACTAATCCTGATGCTCAAAGACGGCTTGAGATAGTTTGTTCTATTGAATTGAGCCTCTCTGATGTAATGAAAACAGGACTTTACTTTTAA